GACCTACCAGCAATGATGATTTGTTATATTATTGAAAAATGTAAAAAATGAAAGTTATGTGTTCTCACCATACAAATGAATATTATGTGAGGCAATACATTTGGTTATTAGCTAGATTTCACCATTCCATAATATGTAGTACTTCAAAAAATGCTTTCTGACATGATAAAAAACATAGTGTTATCTGTTGTTTTTTAAAAATAAAAATAATAAAGTTTCTACTATGTACCAGCTATCTCGACTTCAAGATGCCAAGTAACTTTGGGCATATTCTTTATTTTTACTTTCAACAATAAAATTGGGTAATAATTTGAAAAAAATTAGAATAAATGATGTTTTATGTCCCATGCAGATTTAGTTATATGTGAATCCTCAAATTTAGTGATTCTTTTTTGTCTTATCCTTAAATAACTTTTATAGTTTTAATTTCCTTTAAGTTTCCTTATTATATAGAACTTCAATTTTATCAATTATCATCTTGATTAGATTTTTATAATGAGAAAATTGGCTACCTATTGACCCACCTTCATCTGCAAGGAAATCTAGAAGAGTAAAGCTCTAAGAAGACAGTGTATATGATGGACAGCAAGGAGAAAGAAAACACTTTCCTGACCTTTGTGGCCAGTGAGTGGCAAGAATATTAGTAAAACTAACCTTTCAATGACTCTAGTCTGCTATATGTATTATTCTTCTATAAGATTTAAGATTTCAAATTTAGCAAAAGATGTAGCCTACCATTATAGATGAGGAAAGAAGAGACAGTTGTCTAAGATTCCACATCCTTCCTAAACATTGAATTACTGTGGTAAAGGGAAGTTTGAAAAAAGACAGGACACTTTATAAGTCGAGAAGAAAACAGAATAAGTAAAAGATCTAGGAACAACTGAAGTTTCAATGTAACTGCCTTCTACCATAGTTGAAAGTTTATGCTTCTGAGAGATTTTGTTCAATATAAACCAGCAAAGACAAACAGGCAGTAGTAGAGTTAATGTGTATGATGTTCATACTTCAGCTTCCAATACCAACCATCAGTTTGAAGGTGAAGAAACAGAAATAAAAGATTTTAAAGTCAATGAAAAGGAAATTTAAAAATGAGTATGAATGCAGCCAAGAGAAAGAGGACCTGACACAGGGAGAACTTACTAAGTAGAATTTTATCATTTCATTTAAGGTAATATAGAATTCAGTTCCCCACAGATATCTCTGATAGCACGGTATAGACAACACTACTCAGTATTTTGTCAAATATGAGGATTTAATTTTTGAAAATTTCAAGAATACCTAAAATGTGAACATAATGAGGATGGAAAAGATGAAATGACATATAAATCTAACAGTTCTCACATGTATTTATAACATATATGAGATCCTTAATAACAGAGAACAAATATGTAAATTTAATATTGTTTTCTTAAGTAATTTTTAAAATATTATAAAATGCTAGAATTGTTGTTAAATTAAAAATTCTAAACTTGTGACCAATTTTTAATTTTAATAGATCATGAGCACCTCATTAAAGAACTGAACATTTAAAAAAAATTTTTTTTAGTTGTTGATGGACCTTTATTTTATTTATTTGTATGTGGTACTGAGAATCGAACCCAGTGCCTCACACATGCCAGGCAAGCGCTCTTCCACTAAGCTACAACCCTGCCCCAACGGACTAAATATTGATGGAAGATATTTGTTGAAGTGGAAAATAAAGTCTAGGAATATAACATTTCAGGTTAAAATACTCCATTCCAAAGAACCCTGTGGGTAAACCAAGACAATGTAGAAGTACACATGGTAACTTCATTCATACTAACGTTAACAGTTGTTTAATTATGGCAGATGAACATGAAATTGGCAAAGTGGATAATCTATTGACTTTTTTCTCAAAAATGAATTTTTTATTTGTTTATAAGTTAACGTCACCTTTTTTGTCAAGGGCAGTAAGATTCAATCAGGCAAACTTACTTGTTTCCATATCTTACAAATAGCCAAAGCAAGGCAATTTCTAATTTGTGATTCTAGCATTGCCCATTGAGACTGCTATAACAAAATGTTTTAAAATTCACTTAAAGGCAGTAGCAATGTATTTTTCACTTTCTTTAGTCTGGAAATCTAAGATTAAGATGCTGGCAAATTCATTGTCTGGGGAAGGCTTAACTTCCTGGTTCACAGTTAATCATCTTCTCACTCTGACCTCACATGGTGAAAGGGTTGAGGGCTCTACCCTCGTAACTTCATCACCTCCCTTAGGTCCTATGTCCTAATGCCTTGGGGGTTAGGATTTAAACTTGAATTTGGGGGAAACACAAAGATTCAAACCCTAGCAGTCTCCTACTTCAGTGTTCCCAAGTCCTATTTGATTGCCATGCTGGTGGTTCTGAGATTTGATCAAAGTGTTCTATACCAAAACCAAATTTATTAGAGAATATAGAGAAAAAGTATCATTTCTATTGGCCAAGGAGAAAATAAATGAAAACTAAATCCAATTTGTAGGTAGAAAAGAGTGAATTTAGGAGAAACTGTAGAGGAACACATGGACAGGAGTTCCTCTCTGACTTAGCTTATCGGATTCTGACCCTCTCAATGCCTTTCTTTTCACTTGAGATTATACTGAAAGACTTACTCTTTAGATTCCAGCCCAGGTAAATTCTTGTATGTATTTTACTGTAAATACATAGAATGTCTCAACCTCCTTCATAAGTAACTGTGAAGCCTAGCAAAAAATGAGCCTATATTAGTCATATTCTTATTGTGAAACAGAATAGATTCACAGAAGAGTCTTTACCCTCATCTAGGGACCTGATGATTGCATTTATTCTAATATATTCCAACTGAAAGAAACTGGAATGAGAATTTAAAAATCATTCAAAGAAACCTTGTATACTTTTATGCAAGTGCCAAAGTGAGGATTAAAATAACCAAATTTGTGTTGTTATGGGCATAGAAGATACATTATTTAGGGTATTTTTGGAATGAAATTGAGAAAGATCTTCTAGAGTATGTCCTATTGGCTTATTTAAAATTTAGTTATAATAATAATCAAGATCTATTTTGAATTTTTATTTGTTTTAGGCTCATCTTGAGTAACCACCAGATATTCTTGTAGAAATTTTAAGGATATTTTACCAGTTTGTAAAAGAAAGCATGCATGTAGTATAAAGGTACATTTTAAAAGTACAGAAGAATATATAATGAAATGCCAGTCTCCGTGTAACGCCCATCCTTCTGCCACCCACTTAATATCCATGAGATAAGCATTGTTACTCATTTTTGGTGTACCCTCACAGTGTATTTTATATGCTTAAATAAGTATATAATAGTCTTTAAAAAAAAGTAGTAACAGTGCCACACAATTAGATACCTTGCTTTTTTTTCATATAATATATCTTAGAAATAGTTCCATTGGGAGTGATTATGAAATGGCCCCGAAGTGGTTGCTGTGGTTTTCTTCTTCCGATAGCTGTATCAAAATTTATTTAACCAGTCCCTCATGGTGAACATTTGATTCATCAGTTCAGATATTACAGTAGTACTGTAGTGAATATTGTGTGTGTGTGTGTGTGTGTGTGTGTGTGTGTGTGTGTGTATGGTTTTGCACCCATGTTAATAAATTCTTCAAGGTGAAATTGCTGGGTTAAGAGTTTGTGCTTTTTCATTTTGGTAAGATTTTGCCAAAGTATGATCCAGAGAAGTTACTGTCCATAAACTTTTATTACCTTCCAAGAATTATGAGCTGTCTGATTCAAATGTATGATATGTCAAGATCATTGTACTGTCGTGTGTAACTAATTAAAACAAATAAAAAAATTTTGGTAATCATCAGGAAAATTATAGTAATTATAATAGTAATCAGAATAATGATTAGTTTTAATTAGGTGACTATGAATGAGTTCTAGATCACAGTCGAAGGAATATGTGAGCTGAATATTTCTTTCCATTGATTCTTTAAGATTGATGATATGGTGTCTGGTATCTATTACCTACTATACTTTAAATTAGCTTACCATTTCAAGAACATGGAGGTTCCATTTTTAATCCTTAATTTAAATAATAATGTAGTACTAAGAATAGCTAGCATATGCCAGGCACTATTCTATGTTTATATATTTTATCTCATTTACTTTTCACAAAAATCCTATAAAGCAATTATAATTTTTGTCCCAATTTAAAGAAGAGGAAATTGAGGCCCAGAGATACTGTGGTAGAGACAGAGCTGATAACTGATAGGACTGGAATCTGGACCCAGGGTAGTTGATAAGCCAGAACTTGCAATTGAATCATTAAACTGTAATGCCCTACAGAGCATTGTAATTTCTTTTGAAAAATCATGTTATATACACATCCATACACCTCTATCATTTCTTGAGTTGATATTTGTTCTCATTGTACATTAGCTTTCTCTTTCTTGTGTGTTTTTGTGCTTTCAAACTGCCTTCCATAGATGAGACAGATTAAAATAGAAAGTTTTTATTTTATTTCGTTCTGAGGAACAGAACACTTAGAAAATTAGGCACCAAGTTGAAACAGTCTTTTATGACGTTCACCAGTATGATAAATGAATGCATAGAAGTTTTACATTTTTCATTTTAACTTGATGACCCTGTGTTATTTCAGAAATATGCTCAAGAATCTCCCAAGAAACATTTATAATAATAAATGTTTTTTAAAAAAGAACTTCATGTGGTTCTTTCAACAAGCTCCTTGACACTTTTTGTCGGCATGCAAGTGGCTGTATTCTCCTTACCTTGACATGCTGGCTTAGGTGAAATATTGTAGGCATAAAAATTGCATTTGGTAGGTCTAATACGAAGAGGTCATGTAAAAGTCATCTTTGATTTGTTAATGGACCTTTTTTTTTTTTTTTGGATGTAGTATATGGCTGCAGTGATGTGTACCCTAAGGGAAAAAATGATCCTTTTTATAAAGGTTTATTTTAATATTTTATACACTGTAGTTCTGTTGTGTGTTTTTGATTTAGTAACAATTTATGTGTTTTTCTGTTGCAGAGCACTGCGGCCTGTGGTGTTGAGGCTCACAGCGATGCCATCCAGCCCTGCCACATCAGAGAGGCCGTTCGACGCTATGGCCACAAGATTGGCCCCCTTTCCCCATTCACAGTACGTAATAACAGAGTTATAAAAAGTTATATTTATAATCTGAAAGAATTTTGATTTTCAAGTGGTCAAATGAAGAAGCAGTGGAATTGTTGAAAGCAATTTGTGGTAACCGTAATTTTGTTGTATAAAAGTGGCATAAGTCTCTTGGGAAATAAAACTCATTTTTGTCTCTTTTTGAAAGGACAGTTTTTTTCCTACAAAATATTATTTTCTCTCAGTTACATATTAAGCTTTTTGTTGGAGCTTATATTTGCTATTTTTCAAAGCTTAAGTTTATAAAAAATTTTGTCAAATTATATGTATTCAAATATTGCCAGAAGCACTTTATATTTTAAAATTAGTTAGATTGGCATTACCACTTCTATCAGATATCCTTCCCCTAAACATACTTTGAGTTGGAAGAAGAAGAAATGATTTTTTTACTTGGCACAGCCTTTCACATCTTCAAATGACCTGAAAGCTTCTAATCGGGCTTTTTTTTTTTAAATGAGGAATTAAAGATTTTATATTTTAGCATTAATTAAATACTCATCGCCTTTTTTTTTTGACGTTTCTTTTTTTTATTTTTTTATTGTTGGTTGTTCAAACATTACATAGTTCTTGACATATCATATTTCACACTTTAATTCAAGTGGGTTATGAACTCCCATTTTTACCCCGTATACAGATTGCAGAATCACATCTGTTACACTTCCATTGATTTACATATTGCCATACTAGTGTCTGTTGTATTCTGCTGCCTTTCCTATCCTCTACTATCCCCTCTCCCCTCCGCTCCCTTCCCCTCTTCTCTCTCTACCCCCTCTACTGTAATTCATTTCTCCCCCTTGTATTATTTTTCCCTTTCCCCTCACTTCCTCTTGTATGTAATTTTGTATAACCCTGAGGGTCTCCTTCCATTTCCATGCAATTTCCCTTCTCTCTCGCTTTCCCTCCCACTTCTCATCCCTGTTTAATGTTAATCTTCTCATGCTCTTTGTCCCTACTCTGTTCTTAGTTATTCTCCGTATATCAAAGAAGACATTTGGCATTTGTTTTTAGGGATTGGCTGGCTTCACTTAGCATAATCTGCTCTAATGCCATCCATTTCCCTCCAAATTCTCTGATTTTGTTACTCATCGCCTTTTAAAAAAATCTTTGTTACTCCACGTGGTTCTATTTCTAGGAAATTCTTTTAAAATTATCTCCTTTTTTGCTTATGTATATAGACAATGTTTTCTTTCCATTCTTCTTACAGTTATTGTGAATTATATGAATTCTCAGTGTGACAGCAAGAGTGTATTTTATAAATGTCTCGGGAAGCTTTCTGTAGTAGTGATCATTTTTCACTTTTGTTGTTGCTGGGGTTTGAACCCAGGACCTCATACATACAAATCATGTTCTCAACCACTGAACTACACCCCCACCTTGCACATGATTTAAATATTACTAATTAAAACAATTATACTTTTGCACAAATATGCTTCTGCATAAATATTTCAGAGTGTTGAAAGAAGGAAATCAGAATCCTTGGTTTTTTTCCCTCCATTCTACAGATAGGTTAGGTTATTTTAAGTGACAGGCCAAAATGAAGATGGGATTTAGAAAAACTGAAGATAATTGGAAGTAAAAATTTTAAAAACAACTAAAAAAGAAAGAACCAAGTTATAGCTAAAGGCTAAAAATATAAAATATCAAATCCATAGATAAGAGCCAAATAATGACCACTAGGTTTAGACAATGGGGTAGAGAAAGAAGAAGAAGGAGGCAGTGCTGATAATGATCTAGAAGACCAGAAAGGGAAACAATTTTTGAGAAAAAAACCAAAAATGGTACCTAAACATAGTGAATGAAATATCATAAGTGTATCCACTATATGGGGAGAACCTCAAAATCATGAAGTCTTCAATATATTCTCAAAGAAGCAGCTGCTTGTTTATTGAGGTTTTTGTTTTTAAATAGACTGAAGGGATCACGTTATTTACATGTGTGTTTGTGTGTTGCCCTCCATTCCATGTCCAATCTGATACTCATGTGCATGATTGCTTTTACAGCCTAAGACGGTGGTATATGTTTTTTTTTTTAAAGGACTTTAATTCAGGTGCAAATATAACTCAAGGTAATTTTTATCTAATAAAATATAACTGATTTTTTAACTATGCAATTTTAAAATGCCTAATTTAAGTAAATCTAGAAAATAGAATTTAAAAAAAAAAAAAAAAAAAAAAGACCCTCTCCAGAGAAGTACCTCAGGTTTTATCACTCCTCAGAAAAGCTTCACCAGGAAAGATCTGCTCCATTACCTGCATCTCTAAGAATTTGCCTAATCATCAGGTCTAAATATGCCTGTTCCATTTGATATCATGGGTGTTATCATCAAGGAGACATAGTTTTATATTATAATTAATTATTCTAATTTTTAAATTTGTTCGTTTTAGATATAAATGACAGTAGAGAGTATTTTGACACATTATACACACATGGAGTATAACTTACTCTAATTAGGATCATTCTTGTGGTTGGACGTGATGTGGAGTTTCACTGGTGGTGTATTCACATGTGAACATAGGAAAGTACTGTCCAATTCATTCTGCTGTCTTTCCTATTCCCGTCCCCCCATTTCTTTCCTTCATTCCCCTTTGTCTAATCCAATGAACTTCTATTCTTCTCCCTCATCCCTTGTTGTGTGTTAGCATCCACTAAATGGGGAATTAAAGATTTTATATTTTAGCAATATGTTTGTGCTGTTTAATTAAATACTCATAGCCTTTTAAAACAATCTTTCTTACTCCACGTGGTTCTGTTTCTAGGAAATTCATTTGATATTTACAAAAACCTTTGGTTTGGGGGGATGGGCTTATTTCACTTAGCATGATACTCTCCAGAGCTGTTCATTTACCAGCAAAAGTCAAGAAGTCATTCTTTTTATGGCTGAGTAATATTCCATTGTGTATATATACCACATTTTCTTTATCCATTCATCTGTTCATGGGTACCTAGGTTGGTTCCATAGCTTAGCTATTGTGAATTGAGCTGCTATAAACATTGGTGTGGCTGCATCACTGTAGTATGCTGATTTTAAGTCCTTTGGGTATATACCTAGAAGTGGGATAACTGGGTCAAATAGTGGGTCTATTCCAAGTTTTCTGAGGAATCTTCATGCTGCTTTCCAGAGTGGTTGCATCAAGTTGCAGTCCCACCAGTGATGTTTGAATATACCCTTTTCCCCACCTTACCAGTATTTATTGCTGCTTGTAATTCTTGATTCTGACTGGAGTGACCTGGAATCTCAGTGTAATTTTAGTTTGCATTTCTCTAATTTCTAGAGTTATTGAATATTTTTCCATATATTTGTTGACCAGTTGTATTTCTTCTGTAAAGTACCTATTCAATAACCCATTTATTGATTGGGTTATTTGTTTTTTGGGTGGTTTTTTTTTTTTTGAGTTCTCTGTATATCCTGGAAGTTAGTGTTCTATCCAAGGTGTAGGTAGCAAAGATTTTCTTTCTTTCTGTAGGCTCTCCTTTCATATTCTTGACCGTTTCCTTTGCTATGAAGAGGCTTTTTAGTTTGATACCTTCTCATTTATTGATTCTTGATTTTGCTTCTTGTGCTTTAGGAGTCTTATTGAGGAAGTCAGTTCCTAAGCTGACATGTTGGAGTGTTGGGCCTACAGTTTCTTCTAGTGGGTTCAGGGTCTTTGATATAATACCTAGGTCCTTGATTCACTTTGAGTTGAGTTTTGTGCAGGGTGAGAGATAGGGATTAAATTCCTTTTTGCTACTTATGGATTTCCAGTTTTCCCAGCACCATTTGTTGAAGAAGATATCTTTTCTCCAATGTATGTTCATGGTAAATTAATCTGCTTTTCAAAGTTAAAAATTCTCTTTTTGAAGTTTAATACTCTCCCCTCAGAGTGAGATAGATTTGCAGACTCTTTTAGCCAATAACATGGCTACCCTTCCTGGCTTCCACATACTTCCAGCTGCTGAAAGGAATAGCTCATGGGAGAAACCTCTCCATGTTGAAAGATGCTGTTTTTCATTTTCCGAAGGTCCACTCTGAGTACTTGAGTACTGAAGATGATACCTTAAGCAAGTACAATAGGGACACTTTGCTACCTAGACTTTCAACTGTAGGAGAGGAAGCATGTGGACTGTCAACCATGGGCTGACAACCTAAATTTCCAGGCAGAAAGGCTTAGCTGACTTACTCTCAACATGAAATTTTCTTTGTAAACTAAAATGCCACTGAATTGAACATCTAGTTTGTATTTATGAGCATTTTATCTTTGTAGCATTTCATTCTGAATCTAGTGTTTGTATATTTATTTATTTTAAAAATTATTCTTAATTTTTAAAAATTTTAACTAATATACAAAAACAAAAGTCATATGTATTAACAAAGTATTGTGGAACGTTTGATAGATGTATACATTGCATAATGTTTAAATCAGGCTAACATATTTATCTCCTCAAACATTTATCATTTCTTTGTGGTAAAAATTTCCAGAATCCCTTCTCCTAGATTTTTGAAATGTATAATACAGTATTTTTATCTGTAGTCATCATACTATGTAATAGTACCTAAGAATGTCTTGCTCCTATATAGCTGTATCATAGTACCCACTGATCATCTTTCCTCCTCTTAACCTGAAACTCCACACATACTGTCTCCAGCCTCTCTTTAACTTCCATTGTACTCTCTACTTTTATGAAAACAACTTTTTTAGATTCCACATGAGTGAGATCATGTGATACTTGTCTCTTTTGTGTCTAAATTATTTCACTTGGCATAATGATCTCTGGTTCATTCATATTGTCATAAATAACAGGATTTCATTCATTTTTATAGCCAAATAGTATTGTGTATCTGCTCCACATTTTCTTTATCTAGTCATTGGTGGAAGACACTTAGGTTGTTTCTACTCCTTGGCGAAGATGATGCTGCAATGGACATGGGAGTACAGATGTCTTCTGTACATACCAATTTCATGTTTAGATAGATACACAGTAGTGAA